TTGACTGGGCTTCGGGGACCTTGATGTTGTCGGCGTCCAGGTAGACAAGGTCTCCAACTTCAAAGGAGACATCCTGGTGTCGGCGGTCGTAGTACTTCGCCATCACTTGTTGCGCATCCGTGAGCGCGTCGGCGATCATCTTGTGTCGGACTTGATGATCTTTGACAAAGGCACTTGGTTTGGGAGGCAATCCAGCCGTGGACTCGGTCAGTGTCAAGGAGGTGGGAACATCAGGCTGGAATCCGTAGAGCGCCTCAAAGGGGCTCAAGCCAGTTGTGCTCGACTTGGCGGTGTTGTATGCAAACTCTGCATGACTCAGCTGTATGTCCCAGTCGTCTTGGCTGGTCGAGGCGTATGTCCTCAGGTATTGCTCGAGGGTGCGGATCGTCCGCTCGGACTGTCCATCCGTTTGTTGGTGGTGCGAGGTTGACATGTTCAGCTTGGTGCCGAGATGGTCGAACAGACTTGTCCAAAACAAGGAGGTGAATCGGGGGTCTCGATCACTGACGATGGACTTTGGGAGGCCGTGGTGCTTGAACACATGCTTGAAGAACAGCAGTGCAAGGTCAGGCGCGGAGCATGTCGTCTGGCACGGCACAAAGTGTGCCATCTTGCTGAACCTGTCGACAAAGACAGCGATTGCATCGTGGTCCAACTTGGTCGTCGGTAGATGCGTGATGAGATCCATGGACATGCTGGTCCAGGGGCGGTCGGGAACAGGCAGGGGTTGCAGCAATCCTTGCTCTCGGGTCGTGCGTGACTTGACCATCTTGCAGGTATGGCAGGACTCGATGTACTTCTCGACGGTGCGCTTCATTCCAGGCCAGTATGCGACTTTGGCCAGTCGGTCGTATGTCTTCTCGACTCCAAAGTGTCCAGCGAGGGGCGAGTCGTGGACCTCTTGGAGCAACTTGGTCTTCAACGACGGAATGTCCGGCACACAGACACGGCTGTCCTTCTTCAGGAGGAGCAGGCCATCACGCACTGTGTACTCGGATGATTCGTCGTCCTTGGGGAGCTTAGACACCTTTCGGAACAGTTCTCCGAACTGTTTGTCGTTGGCGATGTTGTCTCGGACAACATCCAGCATCGTGTTGTCGACACTGACAGTCGACTCGTACAGTGACGCCAATTGGTAGTCGGGGCGTCGGGACAGTGCGTCAGGCACCACATTGAGTTTGCCTTTCTGGTATACAACCTCGTAGTTGTACTCGGCGAGGAACTCCATCCATCGCGCTTGGCGTCGGCTCAGGTTCTTCTTGGTGTCGAGGTAACGCAGTGACTGGTGGTCCGTCACAATCTTGAAGGGCTTGGCGGTACCGTGGAGGTACACTCGGAACTTCTGCAGCGCGTAGATGATCGCAAGCTGCTCCTTCTCGTGCACGGGATAGTTGATCTCGTGTTGGGACAGTTTGCGCGACTCGAAGGCAACGGGCCTTCCCTCCTGCATCAAAACAGCTCCCACCGCAAAGTCGGAGGCGTCGGTGTGCACGGAGACATCCGTGTTCGGGTCGAACACAGCGAGGACAGGAGCGTTCGTCAAGGCGTGCTTGAGGGTCTCGAACGCTTGGCGTTGTGGGTGGTCCCACACGAAGGGGCACTCTTTGCGGAGTAGGTCTGTGAGTGGACCGGCAGTGCGCGCCAGATCGGGGATGAATCGGCGGTAGTAGTTGACGAGACCGAGAAACGACTGCACGTCAGAGACGCATGCGAGCGGCGGCCACTCGACCACAGACTTGACCTTGGCGGGGTCGACTTCGATTCCTCTTCCTGAGACAACGTGTCCCAGGAACGGGACTTGATTCTTGAAGAACTCACACTTGGACAGTTTGGCATACAACTTGTGCTCGCGTAGCTTGGCCAGCACGCGGGCGACATGACCTTCATGGGTCGCTTCATCCTTGCTGTACACAAGGATATCATCCAGGTACACGATGACAGAGTTGTCGAGCTCTTGGCGGAACACATCGTTCATCAGCTGCATGAACGTGGCAGGTGCGTTCGTCAATCCGAACGGCAGCACTAGGAACTCGTACAGTCCGTAGCGAGTCCTGAAGGCGGTCTTGTGGACATCATCCTCGTGGATGCGGATCTGATGGTAGCCTGAGCGGAGGTCTATCTTGCTAAAGACCTTTGCTCCACTCAGACGATCCATCAACTCGTCGATCCTGGGCAACGGGTAGGTGTTCTTGATGGTCTGTTTGTTTAGTGCGCGATAGTCGACGCACATCCTGAGATCACCTTCTTTCTTCTTGACAAAGAGCACTGGTGCACCATACGGTGACTGGCTCGGGCGGATGAACCCATGGGCGAGGAGGTCATCCAACTGGCGCTTGAGTTCGTCCATCTCCGTCAGCGACAGTTGGTACGTCGGTCTTGACGGAGGCGACGAGCCTGGTTCGATGTCGATGCGATGATCGACGGTGCGTTGGGGTGGCAGGCATTGTGGCAACTGGTCGGGGAATACGTCCTTGTACTCGTCGAGCAGCTTGGTCACCACAGGCGGGGGACCGGGACCGGCTTGGTCGGTGTCGTCGACCTCACGCACGACACAGAGGAACGACGTGTCCTTCTTGATCAGCCTCTTGAATTGCATGGCTGAGAGGAGAGGTGGCATGTTGGGTGAGGCCATGCCCTGCAGGACAATGTCAGGGCCAACACGGACAGTGCGGCCTTTCCAGTCGACGACTGGAGTCGGCTCGGCACGAGCAAGCCAGCTCATGCCGAGGATGGCATCGAACTTGGTGTCGATCACTTGGAACAACAGGACAGGATGGTACTTGGGATGGAGGGCCACTCGCAGGACCACTTGGTGTGTGCACTGCTGCACACGATCGTCTGTAAGCGCCACACTCATCGGCGACTTCTTCTTGGTTGCATGTATGTTGAGCTCCTGGAGCAAGCGTCTGCTGACAAAGTTGCAGCTTGCTCCAGAGTCCACCATCATTCGGACGGTGTGACCTTGGACGGTGGCAGGGAGGTACAGCAGGGACTCTTCATGGTCCTCCTGCACAGCCTCCTGCACCATGACTTGACTTGGGGGAACGGGCGACACTTGGTCTTGGTTGGCTTCATCACGGCCACTCGGACATTTTGGATAGGGTTCGGCCATTGCGGGGGCCTGCGGCGTCAGCACGCCATTGCACACGACGTCCACGGCTTGCGGACACATGTCGGAAGCATCCGACACACACGACTTGACAGGGGTGAGGGCACAGGCGGTCCTGTCCCTCAAGGGTTCTTGATTTTCTTTTTTGTTTTGGTTTTCAATTTTGGTTTTCTCTTCACGTTCGTGGAGAGGCAGGCGGCTTGCGCCACCATGCACCTCTCGCACGACGCACAACACTTGGTTTGTTTCTCCTTCGGGGGAGGGGGCGAGGTGAACTTCCTCTGGAGACGCGTGGACTGCATTGAGCAATCCACGGCGTTGGTCTCCTACTAGGGCTCCAGAGCCACCTAGTAGGGTCGGCCGTTTCCCGACTTCATGGGGCACTCCTTGGCCTGGTGTCCCGGTCGGTGACAGAAGAAGCAGGAACCATGGCGGAGGTCCTCCTGCTTCTGTCTGTCCTTGGGGGAGACAGTGGCAGCTTGCTGGAACCGGGAGCGGGGAGGGCCACGAGCCTCCATGGCGTTGACGTCAACGTCCATGGGCTCAGGCATGGGTCTTGCGGGCGGGGCCGGGCGAGGCGGACGGGCTGGGACGTGATGAGACCGATGGCCGCCTGCCAGCTGCGGGTAGAACTGGCGGCCATGGTACTGGACGTTGTCGAGGTTCTCGGCAACGTCCATCATCACGTCCAGGGACTTGCGGGCATCAGGGTTGCTGGCGATGTACTCTCTGATCTTGGGCTTGAGGCCCTTCTGGAAGAGGTACATCGCATCAGCAGAGCCCAGCTCCTCAATCTGGGAGGAGAGGTCTTCAAACTCCTCGATGTAGCGGGTCACAGCACCACGCTGCACGAGAGAGTATAGCTTGTCACGGGCAATGAGTTCAGCATTGGGGCTGCCGAAGCGGCGACGGAGGCGGTCCTTGAAGTCGTCAAACACACCTTCGCTCTGCTCGTCGAACCCTTGGCGGCGGTACCAACGGTACGCCTGGTCCTTTAAGCAGAGCTTGGCGGCGACGATGTGGTGGGTGGGGGCGACTTGGGCAGCATCGAGGTAGTCCTCGAGTTGCTGCAGCCAGTCCTCCACCGAGGAGGAGCGGCTCTTCCCAGTAAACACTGGGGCACGGAAGGTCTTGAGGAAGGCTTCCGGAAGTGGGCGGGGGTTGCTCATGGCAGGGGCAGGCTCCAGGGACAGAGAGGAGAGTCGGTCGGCAAGAGAGGCGGGATCCAGCTTGAGGATCTAGAAAGAGGACAAACAGGACGAAAACAAGACGAGGATTTCCGATGCTACCATGTAACGTCCACTACTGGGACGTTGGGGCAAGACGGGGAGGGAGGGGGTACAAGACAAGACAGGACGGGGCAGAACAGGGCGGTGCTAGGCTACTCTAGCGGACGGGTGAGCTCGGGGAGCACTTACGTTTATTCACGATAAAACCGAACTCCAGACAAACGGGGGGAACGGGGGCAACCCGCAGGTATACCCTGCGGTGGCCTGCCTGCGGTGCGTGAAAACGCAAAGCGCAGCACAGGTCACGACCCACTGCGCCGCGCAGTACGCGCAGTACGCGCAGCACAGCGTCGGAGATACCATCTCCTACAACCGGAGTGGGAATGCCGATACGAATGGAGAGACAAACGGTGGGTTGGGTGCTGGGTGGTGATGATGTGATACCCTAAGATATAAAAGGTCGTCACTCACGATCCTCCTGTTCCCATAACCCCCAACTGGAACAGTAAGAGATCCACAACTGGAACAGTAAGATCCTCAACTGGACCAGTCAACCCCTCAACTGGAACGCACAGCCCTCATCAACTGGACCGGACCAGACTCCGTCCCCTCCAGTGAATCGACCCAAATAACCACCGACCAAGCGATTTGCAATAACCTTACCCGAACGAGACAAGTGACCATCCTTACCAAGACCTTGAACCGAGACCCGCAAAGTCGACCAAAGCCAACGTTCAATATCAGTGAGCCCTAACCTTTGCCTACCAGGACGTAGCCCATCTGTGTCTTTGTTTCCTACCGTGGAACGACCCAAATACTCTCAGGAGCACCCCGACCCCAAGGATCCACTCCTGGTATCGGAGATGTCTGGGAGACCACAGACACCCCAGCCATCCCAAATCCCCCTGGTTTCACCCGATGGGTCAAGCCAGGGAGGAAAGAGAAAGGCCCAAGCTACCCCCGAGGTCACGTCCTTTTTCAAGAGAAGGAACTCGATGCCCGACAGTACCCTCAGGCTCCCTGGAGGCACTAGCCTTCGCCCAGGCTTTGAGTTGAACCCGGAAAACTTCAACTTTGGGCCCACCGGCCTCGACCCCAGAGGTAGTGCTACCAACAGAGTACATGGTTCCAAGGCTCAGGCAGCTGGTAGCCGTGAGAACGGAGCAAGATCCAGACCCAGAACCGACCCCAACCCTGCCGAGATTGTCGACCTCGAGGCAAGAGAGGAACCACCAAACCCAAGCGGTAGCACCTCTCAAGCCAGACCATCCATCGACGACGACGAATTGTTCCTCGCCTGGCTCCACCCCATGGACGAAGACTTGGATGACATCGAGAACGACCAAGCGAACCCTGCGTCGAAGCCAACTCAGGGGTCGCTCACTCCGACCCAGCCCCAAACTCAGACTCCTCCAAAGCAAGTCACTGTCACCCAAGACTGGCGAGACCTGTTCTGGGATCGCTGGGACAGGGCGATCAGCACCGAGGACTACAGAGCAGCAGCACAGACCATTGATGTTGGAGGCATGAATAGCCTGCTTTGGAGCACGGTTACAAGCAAGCTCCAGGGCACAGTCGAGTGCAGAAAGTGCAAGAAGACCTCGAACACCCCATGGAAGACTGTCAAGCATGGCAAAGACGAAGTCCACCTGAGATGCCCACGAAAGGAGGGCACGACTCCGTGCCAAGGACAAATGACGGCCTTTCAGTTCTGGGCGCACATGCGCCACGCGACCAGGGAGTTCAGACAATCATTCGTGAAGTCCTACACTGACCGGTTCAAAGACCGGTTTCACACCAAGTGTGGTTTTGAAGTGGATGGCTATGACAGAGAGACCGAAAGTCCAATGGCGTCCCAAGCAGTTGAATCCACCATGGAGATTGTCAAGGCCACGCCAACCACACCCAGAACCACTTCCCAGGCAGTGGGAACCGCTACCGGAATCATACGAGCGACCCGCCACAACAGAGACGTCGACCAGGGGACTGAGCCAACAAGCACCAGACCCCAAGTCGATGAGAGGGGCCCCATGGCAAAGGAGCATCCAGCCGTCCCACAGGTAGTGGCAAGCACTAAAGCTGCTGTTGCTAGAAAGAGCACTGAGGTCAGCCTGGCCGAGGCACTCGAAGCAGCCAAGACGAGCGCCGACCTGATTCAGCAACTCATCTTCGAGACGCTGATTGAGGATTGGATGGATGCAAGAACCAAAGCACTCATCCACAAGATTGCCAAAGCAAACGAAGCCGTGCGCAAGGCCCGAGACCAAGCCCAGATGATCTCAAAGCAGATGGATGCAACCCAGGCCCGAGGCACCAAGCACCAAGCCCAAATTGGGCAGACCCATCCGAACCAGGCCCACATTGCGCAGGACCAAGGCAAGCCAGTCACGTACAAGGCCGCCTTGATGAAGAACATCGCTACCACAGAGCGAATCATCGGTCGTATGGACGAGACCCAGCAAATCCAAGAATGGAAGAGGGTCCTCACGACAGGTAGAATGCCTGGCACGTCCAAGACAATCCAGCCAAGAACCACCAACAACCCTGTGGTGGTCCCAGGAAACATCCCCAACGACGAGCTCAAGAACGAAAAGTTCAAGGAGATCGTGACCAACATGGAGTGGATGTACATTGAGGGGATACGATGTGGTGATCTGGGTCGCATCCGCCGCAACCTGAAAATGTGCGGACTCGACACAAGGGAGTTTGCTGAACTCAACTTCCCCGAGGCTTCGGTGATGGAGGTCCTCCTTCAAGACAAAACAAAGAAAGACCGGATTGCAGCCGAGTTTGAGGCGTTATCCTCAGAACACGGCAAGGTCAGGGTCATTCAAGCCTATGATGTGATCAACGGTTTCAAGCACCACGGACTCAGTCTCCCAAAGACCGAGGTAATCAAGACCTTCATCGTCAAGTCGGTCCGACAAGCGGCAAAGGCAAAGTCGACCCCTGTGCGTCGATGCATTCAAATGAGGGTGCCCGAACAATACCGGCAAGAGTACGACGAACTTCTCGTCAGAGCCATGTCGGGCAAGGAAATCAAGAAAGATGATGTCAAGGCGGTGCCCCAGGCCATGCCCCGGGCAGTGTCCCAGGCAGTGTCTCAGACTCCTACAGAAGGGAGGCCCCCAAACCTGACCGCAGAACGACGAGGCGGTAACAGCTCGAACTTGCTCAGTGAACCAGTTGAAAGTGGCAGTCGGACCCTTGCCAATGGACGAGCTGGCCGGAAAGCAAGTGCAGCCGTCCAGGCACCGAGTGGCGCAGCACCGCGCATGGCCATGACCGGACGACACGCGTCATCCGGGCCAACCATGACGACTGATCGGGTCATGAGTACACAACAGACCGAGAGCCAAAGACCCAACCTCGAGCACGAGGTGATGGATATGGACTCGTCGAGCGATGGGGAGGGGCAGACGCCCAGCAGAAATGCACTCCCCATCCGATTATGAATCCAGCCCAGACAACAGGAGACGGCAGAGTTCAGACATCTCTGACCGTTGCATCCTTCAATGTCTGTGGCTTGGCCAACAACCATACTGCTGTGAAGGACCTCATAACGAACATGAAGATTGATTTTATCGGTCTTCAAGAAACTTTACTCAAAACAAAAGATCGAAATCCCCTCAGAGACTACACCATCACTATCCCAGGAACGCAGGGAGAAGCTGGGAGAGGAATGGCGTTCCTCTATAACCCAGCGACAGTCGACCCACGAGACATATCCAACGTGGAGGTCCGCAACGACGGAGCCACCATGTGGTTCAAGTACAAGGACAACATCCACATAGGGAACTTTTACTTAAGCCCCAGCATGAAGATCGAAGCATTCAGGGCCGCCATCAAGTCCATACAGCAGAAGGCGTCGGACCCCGACACCCAGGTGATCGTTGTCGGGGACTTCAACACCAGACTGGCTGCACTCCAGGGGAGACCGTCGGCCCCCAGGAACAAGGAGAAAGCACTCCTGGACACCCTGAGCCGAGCCCGGATGCGAGTCGTTGCCCCAGAAATCATCCCGACCCACACCCGGGAACGAGGCGAGAGTGCTTCAACCATCGATTACATCTTCGTTTCAAAGACCTTGGCCAGCAGCGACCCTCGGCTCCAAGTCGACGCTGCTGGAGCCTACCGAGGAAGGTCCGACCACAAGGCCATCTGGGCGACCCTGAGGATAGAGGTCACACACTATCTGTGAGGACCACGACAAGCAACGACACTGGACGACCAGGTGCTTGGCGAACAACGATAAGCTATATTACGACTTATCAGATAACAACAAGTGTTGTTCGAACTGCAGATACAAAATGGGTGCAAGAAAGGAGGGGCTTTATAGCCAAGAGGGAAACCGAAGGGCGAAAGTGGGCGAGAGGGGTGGAGCGACAAACGAGGGACGAGATGGGGGTGCGAGGGAGGCGGAGCTGCTAGAGAGAGGGGCGAAGCACAGCGCAGTCGGAGGCGAAGTAAGAGTCATCGGCGCCAGCCAATCAGGGAATACACGCCAAGACAAACAAACATGACTCACGGTGCATCACGCGCAGCAGTCCACACGTGTTCCCAACGTGCATGATCATCACATCATCCCCTCCCCAAACTACGGCCACTCCTGCGAACAATAAGTCCAGGCTTGTCGGGGTACCGGCGGTGGAAGTCGGCTATCTTGTCGGGAGCGTTAACGTAGTTGGCGGGCTCCCAGCTGCGATGATCAGTCGAGTAGCCCTTCCAATCAACGAAATAGCTCAACTTACCGCGGACCAGCTTGGAGTCGAGGATCTCCTGGACTTCATACTCCAAGTGGTCGTCGACGCGGACTGGCGGAGGAGGGTCTTGGATGCGGCCGGGGAGGGTGTTCGACTTGTGGGGCTCAAGGAGGGAGACATGGAACACCGGATGGATCTTGAGATCCTTGGGAAGGTCGAGGCGGAAGGCGAGGGAACCGATGGCTTCGACGATCTTGTAGGGTCCGATGCGCTGGTAGTCCAACTTCTTGCTTGGACGGGTGGTCTTGATGTTGCGTGTTAGGACCCAGACTTGATCGCCAGGAGCGAACTTGGGAGCGTCGGACTTGTGGGCATCCGCAAAGCGCTTGTAGTCCGCCTTGGCCTTCTCGAGGTTCTCCTTCAGCAACGCCAAGTTGTGCTGAAGGTGTTCGACTCGGTCGGTCGCGGAGGGGACATCGAGGCTGGAAGGAAGGACCGGAGACTCGAATCGAGGGTTGAAGCCGTAAGTCGCCAGGAACGGGGAGGCCTTGGTCGAGGTGTGCTCGAGGTTGTTGTATGAGAACTCGGCGAGCGGGAGCAGCATCGCCCAGTCATCCTGCTGGTACGAGGTGTAGCAGCGGAGATGCTGGTTGATGACTTGGTTGACCCGCTCAGTCTGTCCATCGGTTTGGGGGTGGAACGCCGTGGACAGACTGGTCTTGATGCCGAGTTCTGAGCACAGGGCCTGCCAGAACCGCGAGGTGAACTGGCTTCCTCGGTCCGAGACGATGTTGTCCGGGAGACCGTGGAGACGGAAGATGTTGTCGAGGAACAGCGACGCTGTTTCCTCGGCACTTGGGAGGGACCGACAGGGAAGGAAGTGGGCCATCTTGGTCAGGCTATCGACGACGACAAAGATGCAAGTCTTGCCGTTGGACTCGGGGAGGTCGGTGATAAAGTCCATCGTCACCAGAGACCAGGGTCGCGATGCCGTCGGGAGGGGCTGCAAGTATCCAAACGGCTTATGTCGAGGGACTTTCGAGCGTGCACAAGTGTCGCACGTCGAGACATAAGCCTGGACATCCTTGCGGATTGAGGGCCACCAGAACTGCCTCGAGATCAGTGCCCGAGTCCGCCGAATGCCAGGATGTCCAACAGCGACAGGATCGTGGCATGACTTGAGGACGGGGACTCGACACGACTCGGGCACAACGATCTTGTCCATGAAGGTGAGGAGACCATCCTTCAGGACATACTTGGGATCGTTGCGGAGCTGGTCCAGGGACGGGTCCTTGGGTTGCTCCTCGGCAATGAGCTTGAGCAAGTCCACAGGGCGAGTGGAACTTGCATCCGAGGAGCGACGGACGGCACAGGCGAACGACGAAGGTGGCAGCAACGGGGGAGGCTCCTTGGACACAGGTGCGGACGGAGGGACGTAGTCCGGGCGGCGGGAGAGAGCGTCGGCCTTGCCGTTCTTTGGACCGGGGAGGTACTGGATCCGGAGGTCGAACCGAGACAGGAACTGCGACCACCGGGCGTGTCGCTGGTTGAGGATGCGGGCCGACGCCAGGTATTCCAAGTTCTTGTGGTCGGTAAGGACTTGGACTGGGTGTTGGGCACCTTCGAGGTAGTGTCGCCAGACCTCGAAAGCCTCCTTGATGGCCAAGAGCTCCTTCTCATAGATGCTGTAGTTGCGTTCAGCATCCATGAGCGTGCGGGAGTGGAAGGAGCACGGGTGCAGGTGGCCATCGGAGCCGCGCTGGGACAGGACGCATCCGATCGCAAAGTCTGAGGCATCAGACTCCACGACAAAGGGCTTGGATGGGTCGGGGTGCGCAAGGACGGGCTCGGAGACGAAGGCTTCCTTGAGGGACTGGAAAGCCTTGTGGGCGTCGGGGGACCAGCGGAAGACCTGGGACTTCTTGAACAGGAGCGTGAGCGGACCGGCGATCTTGGCATATCCGTCAATGAAGCGACGGTAAAAGTTCGAGAACCCAATGAAGGAGCGAAGGTCGGAGACATTGCGGGGGACGGGCCAGTCGACAATGGCGGAGAGCTTTGCTCGTTCCATCTCGATACCCTTGGGCGAGATGACGTAGCCGAGGAATGAGACCTTGTCCTTGGAGAACT